TTTAAGTGAGAAGAACATGATATTTAATAAATAAATATACACAAAACATTGGAAAAAAAGGCCCCTTTGGTCAAAATAAAAATCTGAAAGCTTTTGTGTGTGTGTGTGTGTGTGTGTGTGTGTGTAACGTGACAGGTCTCCTTGTAGTGCAGCCTGGTTAAAGTTAAATCTGTCAGAGCACTGCCTCTCTTCCTTGTTCTTTTGAGTATTTGGATTGTATTACATTATGGCAGAGAATGGGCAGCGAATTTTGCAATGGAATGCCAATGGCCTTTCCCAGGTCATGGAGTGCACGCTTACATGAAGATCGAGTTGGTTTTGAAGTATAATAATTTATTATCTATTGTGCAGACTGGTTTTAAAACTTATAACTGTTATCTACTTTAGCCAAGGCATAAAGGACTCTTTAGATAAACGTAAGTCCACCCTGGAAGTTTTTGTGAACTTTAAATCTGCCTATGACAGAATCTGTCACTTAAAGTTTATTGAAAAACTGCACTCCCTTGGTGTAGAGGGCAAAATGCTGGCCTGGATCAAAAATTTTACCAACCCAAGACTTATTAGGGTTCGCTATGGCCAAAGCATGTGCCTTTTTAAACAGACAAAAACTGGTCTCCCTTAGAGCACAGTAATGAGCCTCATATTATTTAATATTTGTATAAACGATTCGCCTGATATTCTGATGTCTGACCCGGCAGTTAAGACTATACTGTTTGCTGACGAACTAGTCTCCTAGAGCTGTGCTCAAAAGAATCGACAGCAAAGCCTGAATGTTATCTCAATGATGCATTGGGAAGATTGGATCTTTGATGCAGGAATAACATGAATTTAAACCTAGACAAAACTCATAGCCAGTTCTTGAACAGACAGCACTTTTTATCCCATCTTCTTTATCGTGGTGACGTAATCTCTGTTACTAATAACGTTACCTATTTGGGAGGGAAACTTGATTCACATCTGAATTGGAATGAACATATTTCTTATATAAAGGAAAAAACTGAAAGGAGACTTCCAATTTTGAAACAGCTGATGGGCTGTCGATGGGAGTGTAATAGAGAAACTTTAATAAATACATATAAAATGTACATTCAACCATTATTTTATTACTGTAATGAAGTTTTGGTGACTGCTTCCATCAGTACAGTCAACGTTTTGGCAAGATTACAAAACCAATCTCTTCATCTAATAACAGGTGCAGTTAAATCCACACCCATAGTAGCTATGAAAGCGTTAACCAATATTTCTCCTGTCATGCATGACATTTACAAAAGTGCTGCAAATTTGTTTCAAAAACTTTGTAGGCTCCCAAATAATAAATATTGGAGGAATCACAATTTTAACAATGAAAGAAATTTAAAGATGCAAGAGGGTTTAAATCAAATTGCTTGTCAATTAGTAAAAGAACTAGACCCTGTTTGAGAAATGAATGTAATGACTGTAACCAGTGCTTATGAAACTATTAAGAGAAGATATCCCAGTAATCTCTGGATCCATGTTTACACCAATGAATCCACGATTGAGCAAGGTACTGGAGCTGGTGCAGGACTCTATTGTAACTATTTTGAATTCTATAAGGAAGTGGGAAGAGATACTACCAATTTTGATTGTGAAGTTGAAGCTATTGCTCTGAATCAATTATGCACTCGGAAGAGTAATTTCCCTTAGGCTGTTATTTTGTCCAGTAGCAAAGCTGCTTTGTAGGTTATCTCCAACAATAAATTTTGCACTTCCAAATGAATTTATGAATGTAGGAATATTTTCAACATGCTGGCTGACTCGATTTTCTTGCAGTGGATTCCTGTTCGTTGTGGCATCGAGAGAAATTAAATAGCCAATTTCCGGCAAAGAAAGGAACGACTATTCTACAAACCACTAATAACCACATGACTTTTTAATTCTGCAAAACTAATTAAATTAGAATTTAAGAAGAGGTTTGCCCCCTACCTATCAATTGAAGCTAAGGGAATAGTTTGGAAGTGTCTCACCAGTTCAAAGCCAGTTGTCGCAGATTTTCCTCGTTCTGGTTCGTGGTGTCCTTTCATCTTTTAACTGGGCATGATTGTTGAAATGCCCATCCTTTTAAAATTCGACTTAGGACTCTTCAGTCTGTACTCTTTGTAACTAAGGACAGTTCATGAATAAGGAGCATATTGATGAATGCACTGCACTATTATCTTTTAATTCTATTGTTCTTAAGTATTGGGAAGCAAGATCAAGATTCATGGCTTAGCAGTTAAATGTCTGGCATTTGTATAAATAAATAAAAAAAATTTTAACTCGGCTAAATATTAAACTATTAAAGTAGAATACCTTGTTATTATTTTATTTCACTCTTCAATTAGTTACAAAATTAATTGGATTCTCTACAAGTTTAATCTTCAAATCATTTTCCCACCTATCAGTAAAATACGCTGTTCATTTTTCTAAGATCCCATTTCAGATTTGAATTCTTGGGGAATTTACAGCATAACTTATTACTGTAATCTGTCATACACTGAAAAGCCAAAACATTATGACCACCTACTGAATAATTCATTGCATGACCTTTGGCTTATAAAACAGCTGCCACTTGACTTGGCATGGATGCCATAAGTTCTAGGTACACTACTGGAAAAAGGTTGTACAAAATATCTAAGGAGCAGTCATGCAACGTTGAGATATTCAGACATGGTGGTGTTTGAGCTCTGAGCTGCCACTCCATGACATTCTGAATGTGCTCTATCGAGTTTAAGATCCAGTGAGTTGGGAGGTCAGGACATTAACTGGAATTCATGCTTAGGCTCCTTGAACCACTCCAACACAATCCGAGCCTTGTAACATGGGACTTTGTCCTACTGGAAGATATTTCCAGTTGAGAAGACAGATGCCATGTACGGGTGCAGCTGATCCGCAATTATGTTCAGATAGTTCGCAGCTTTCATGGCATGCTCTACCACTTATAAGGGTCCCAAAGCTGCCCCTGAGAACATTCCTGAAAGCAAAATACCGCCACCACCAGCCTGTATATGACCTGCTGTATGGGGGGAAACAACTGGTCACCAGGAAGACAGTGTACCCTGACACGACCATTGACGTAATGAATGAGAAATTATGATTTATCTTAACTAGGCAACTATCTTCCACTTAGGTCTAGTCTCGATGTTCTTGGGCCCACTGCAACCACAGCTGACAATGACGCTAAGCCAACACAGGCACACGAGTGGGACGGCTGTTGTGCAGTCCTATATCCAATTGGCAGCTGTGCTGTCAGTCGGCTGCTGTGCAGTCCTATAACCAAATTTGAATTTCACTGAACTGTGTTACAAAACACTTGCATTTGGACCTGCATTTTATTGGGCTGTTAGCTCAGCCACTGTGTGGCGCCGATTTTGCAGTATCAAGCGGGACAGTTTCCAACGTCCTTTTTCTTGATGATGGGTGGACATCCAACACCTTAGCATCTACTGCTAGTTTCACTGTTTCATCTACTGCTAGACCTTATATTTATATCCACCTTGCATAAATACTAACAACGGCAGATTGTGAGCAACCTACCAGTCATGCAGTTTCAGAGATACTCGTTCTGAGCCTTCAGGCCATTACAATCTGCCCTCTCATCATTTGAGTATTATTTTTCATGACACCTTGACAGCTGACATTATCTTCACATTCACTTTGCTCAATCCATTGTGCTCAATATAAAAACTGTTGTAGCTCCTTCTATTTTAGAAAATACTTCTTTTATCTCTCTCTTTCTTGAAGATCGGGCACCTATGTCTGATCACCCTTAAAACTGATAAAGTTTTATTCAAAATATATGCTAAACTATAACTGCTTTTTTTACTTGGTTTAAAATTTAATATTGGTATGTTTCTCTTCAATTTGATTTATAATTCATATTTTAAAATCAATAGAATATTATAAAATAGTACTTATATATTAACAGAACCACTGTGGCACCATTTGGCAAATTTTTAAAAATGAAAATGCATTGGGAACAACCTGTCATTTTCACATTTTTTTAAAAGATCCCCAGACTATCAATATTTATCATAAATAGGCAAACATTTGCAAAATTTCAAAATGAAACAAATTTGAACAATTTAAAATGTAAATTTTAATTATTAAATAAGGATTATATGATACATTAAAAAGATGCATTTTTCATGACATTTTGCTGTAATATTTTGTACCATACTTCCCACATACACAGTGATCTAATTTTGCTTAAACCAAAAATCAGAGACTTGTACAAATTCTGCACTGTGTACCAGTCATTTACGAAATGATCTCATTGCTGTTCCCTTTAGCCAATTTTGCAAGAAAATATTATATTCCTGCAGGTTAGGTTAGACTACTTAAATAAAGCAAAGAAACTTGAGGGGTATCTGCCTGTGGAGGACTTTTTTTAAAGGGAAACTGACTCATATCCACAATATACATGGAGAAAGCCACAAAAACCAACCATGCAGCCAGCCTGTTTGTCAGGATTCAATCCCAAGTTGAACTACCAGTGCTCAGTGAATTTTCCGCTCAGCCGCTGGTAGACCTTATATTCCTGCAGAAATTTTGCAGCAGTTTCTTCCAAAGTTGGCAAATTTTGCAAATGCATATTTTAAAAATGGATTTTCTAAGGCCCAAAATATCATGATTTGTCAATAAAAACTGCTAGAATACAACAAAAAGAATGCCTACAAAATGGTCATGTTGCTTGAATGAAGAGCTGTTATGAGTATGGTTGTCAAAGAATGATTATGCGCACAGTTTTCAAAGTTTGGCGCATTCTGAAAATTTGGTGATACTTCAACTAAGGTCGTTGCAATAATATACGAGTACCTATAAAATTATTCATCAACAGTATATAGCTGCCAATGATAATTTTATAAAATTCCACTAAATATGTTAAAAATTTAACAGGAGACTCTCTTGTAAAACAGACTAAAGGATTATGCGAGAAAAATCGTAGGATTAACATGATTATATTAGACTATAAAAGACGAAAACATGACTGCATATATTACTTGAAATTTTCATTCCATATTCCAGAACATCAAAAACTGTTTTGATATTTGGAGCTCCAGGAATTGTATCTACAAATACATGAGGATCATCAGCAAGTTTAGATGCCCGAGCTCTTTCTTTACCCTGAATATAAGAATGATAAAAATTAATTTAGCACTATTATTCTTATTTGAATGCTATACATAAGAAGCGAGATTAAAATTATCTAAATTTTATAAAGGTACAGCTACCAACCTTGAAATCTGAGAAATTGGAAGATTTTTGCAAAAACCAAGAGAGATCAGCGGGGGGAGTTGAAGAATGGCCCTTTCAGTTTTTAAAATTTTGCTTCAACTTTCATTGTGTATTTATTTTACTTCTTTGTCATTGTAAATGTCGTGCCTTGCGTATTGTCTTCTGGAGGGCTTGCAACTCCAAGAGACAAGACGCGAGAGCGCGCCAAGTTGGTGATTTTGAAAAACGTGCCCAACAGAGGTTAATTCTTCACTTCCCCCTTTAAATTGATTAATTTTACACCAGACCTTTTTAATATTAACTTATTTAAACTACACAGTACATCATTCACATATATTCAATCATAAATAAAAAAAATTGTAAAATCCTAGAATAATAAGATACGGCCTTGGCGCGATTTTGAAAATTGTCGCCAATACCAAAATAACCCACTTACTGCTCATCATAATATCGCCAAAAGTCACCAAATCCCTTGTGCACCGGATGCTAGGATTAAACCCATGTATTAATCAGAAGTTTTAAAAAAAGTAAATATCACAATAATGCTAGCAATATTCAGACCTCTGTTTACGTAGTGCTGATGAGCAAAGAACAATTATTCTTATAATTTTTAACAAATAAAATAATAATTTTAACTATAAGAATAATTATTCTTATAATTTTAATAAATAAAATACAACTGCCAACTTTGAAAACACAACCATGTTTAAGTCATCTGAAAGAAGGCAAGCCTTGGTTAATTTGACACAGATTATTAATCGGCTTAATATTTCATATTCATTTGTGATTCAGCTTTATTTTACAGACAAAAATTCATCATTCTTGACTAAGTTCACATTCCTTTTTACTATAAAATCTGCATAATTAAACCAGCATGCAAAAAACATTGACTGTATGCAATTTTAGTTTTTCAACTTTTAAAATCAATTTGCTGAGACTTCAGTCACTTTTTGACAGCTGTCATTCCTGCAAGTGCAAAAAATTCTGAGACCTGAATTTCCGCTACAAAATTTGCTAAAGCAGCTGACAAAGTCAACAAAATGCTCGGTAAATTTTATAGATCTTTTTGATTAGAATTTCTTAATGATTTAAACACATCAATTAACAACCTTTAAATTGTTTTAACATAGTAGTAAAAGATAAAGTTAAATAATTTCATTCACCACTTTTTAATGATTAATCTTATTTACAGTATTTTAAAAAACAAATTTAATTAAAAACTGTCTGACTCAGGGTCTGACTCAGGTCATTCGATTGATTTCTAGGAAAAATTTAACCATATAAATTAACAGTGATTTAGCGATGATGGGGAGGGGGAAAGAGAAACCTGTTGTCAGTAATGACTATGCAGTTGCGAATGCACTGGCAAGTTTATACCACTGAACTGAAATACACAACTGAATTAAAATGTCTGGCTATAATTCAAAATACGTACCTCTAACAAAATACTTTGCTCACTTATAGGGACATATTTGGACTGGTATGGTTCTTTAGCATATAGACTGTAAGTTCTGTGCATAGTACGCGGATAAGAAAACGCAGCACACGGTCGATTGAATATATATCGGCATATTAATGTTTTCAGTAGCTGCACTCTTTGATATGACATCGCAGTAACTTAAAAGTCGAAGCTCGAATGCCCCGTCCAGAAATTAGCTCGCTACTGAATTAAGATGCAAAACTGGAGTCGTTGCTTCTGAAATTATGATAAAAAATAAGTCCGAAGTTCACATGACTAGCAATTAACTCCACCTTCATCGTAATGTATGGGAAGTCCATATACTTTGCTTTCAGCTAGTTGAAATATTATAGGTTTAAATGACAGGCGTGTACTGATAACACTTGACAACTACAGAAACTAAACACAATTTTTTTTTTTTTTTTCCCGCACTATTTGAAAGTAAGCGCAAGATAACTTCGAATTTCCTGACACTACTATGACGCCATCTATTGATAGAAACTGAAATTTAAGTCCGATAACATAATAAACCAGTTTGCATAATTTCATGGTTTAGCCCAAGGGGTACCCATTCGGGTCGGTATTTATGAAATTTGAAGAGGGCTCATGATGATCAAAGGATCGACTTCGAATATGCAGGGATCAGAATAATCAAGATCCCATTGATTACAAAAAAAAATTATTAGAAAAATTGATAATTAATTGATTATCGATATAATCATGTAATAAAGAAGAAATCATATAAATAAGTATAAGGAAATAATACACGGAAATGATTTAATATAGTTTTAAGTCAATAATATAATTTTTTAAATATACGGATTTTGTATGTATATATTGCACTTATTACACATAAAACTTATCAAAAAACTTTTCCGTTATGCACCTACCCCCTTTATGTACCCAAAGAAAAAAAAACCAAACACATGCCGAGACTCCATGATAGCACCATCTGAGGACGACATGTGTATGTGTGTGTCTGTAAACGAGAGTAATTAAATACGCACACACACATTATGACAAAAATACCACCAAAATGCTTGGCAAGAGCTTAACGAAAAAGTACCAGAGATTTTAAGGTTCGCTTCTCATGCACTGAAGATTTGAATGTGACAACATTCTTCACAAAACCGCTGAATGCGATGTATTTGATCTTGATATTATAATTCAAGAAAGTTGATTTGTTTGACTATGAAAAAGCAGGCAAGGACTATCTGCCTAAGAAGACGACTGCCTTCGTGGAGGCCTTTTTGGGGGGTAACTAGCTCATACCCACCTTAAACATGGGAAACGAAAAAGCCCGAAAACGTCCGTGTTGACAATCCGTTAGCTGGGATTCGAATCCAGGATATGATTCAAGAAGAGTTCCTTGCACTGAAGGAGGATGTTTAAGTACAAGTCTTATTCATAATATATGTGTACGCTAAGTTTCGAAATGCAAAAATCATCCGCAGCCAAACCGGAATAGTGGTTAGTGATTCTGACTGCCATAGCGAATGGCCAGGGTTCGAATCCCAGAGAAGACATTGATGTTTGTAAATGTATAGTGTCTGTGCGGCATGGGGCCACTCAAAATATACGGCCAGCCGAACGTATTCTCGAGAGGGTAGGAGAAGAGGGGTGGGAGACGCTCGAACACATAGCCCTGGTGTGCTTTCCTCCAAAATTGGGGCGGAACTGAGCGAGGTTGTACTGTCACCTGTATGGTGCCGAAGCATCTTGACAACACCAGACGCAATCTTGCCTCCTTGTTACGATGAATTTTGTGAGCTTCTTTTGCTATCAGACGCGCGAAATTAGTCACAACAACAAAAAAAGTCATCACCCCTTCCCCAAAAAATATATCTAACCAACATTATTGATAAAATTAGGCAAAGCAACAAACTTGTGTTTACCTTAGATTTTAGTCAAGCCTCTATTGAGTCCCTTCTATGAAGATTCCTCTTCATCAGGAGCAAACAAATCTGCAATGAAGTAGACGTGGTTGAATTTATACACAAAAGGAGTAAAGCAACACGAAGCAGCCACGGTTGCATTTATACCCAAAGGAGTAAAGCGAATGAGAAAGTAGCACCATCTGTCGGCAGAAACCGTAAAACATATGTTAATAGAATTTTACATGCGTTAAGGAGAACTGGATTGTAATGAAAATCATTAACTAACCAAGGTAAAACTATGTGAATGTGAAAATCTTCATGAAAAAACAATTCACCAATGGAAGAAACTTTTTGGATACTTTTTGCCGGATCTAATGTCAAAAAGTGTGAATAAATTTCCAACTATGATTAGCTACTGAAGACTTGTTAACTTCGTCTTTTCCGACATGAGATTCGTATTCCTTCATGCGAAACTTTGACGATCATTCAGTTTGACCGATATATCTCAAACCACACTGCTAAGATATGGTACAATTTTCTCAAGATTTAATGTCAGAAATGGAATCTTTAAGAATCGAGCCATAGATTTTATTGACAGGCTAGAAAATTACTTTAAAATAGAACTTCTGGAGAATCCATGGAATTCTGTAACTCATAGAAGCACGACAATGTTATTAATGCTATTTCTAATAGCCAAATGTTTTCTTTGACGGCAAGATGAACACTTTTTTAAAAGCTTTATCAATGACCACAGAAGAAAACCTGCGATTAATGGCAACTTATCTCAAGTAATTTAATTCATTAGCAAGCAAAGATTCTGAGGAACAAACTTTGAGAGCGCGAAATATATAATAGTAAAAAGAAACCATTTCTTACTGATCCGGGTGACATGCACCGGGAGGCAAACAAACAGGAAAAGGTTTACAGTAAATATTAGTGCTAAAATCCGATTCATTGAGGATTATAAGATTATCAAGGAAGGGAGGAGTATATTGTCAGATTCTATTTCATAAGTGAACTGATGGAACTGAGCTGGATCAATCAAATTTATAGCAGGTATCATCTGGGTTAAATCTTTATCACCGTTAAAAAAAAGCACGAAAGTGTTGTATATGTAGCAATTCCAGAGACGAAAATACAGTTTCTCAAATTATTCGACTTCTAAATAGCGCGTGTAAATGTCAGCAGGTACAAGGCTGACGGGACTATCCATAACCTTCATCTCTCAATTTGGAATACCTTCCTTCAATTTGGCGGTAACATTCATTTTGGAAAACTAAGTTAATTTGACTCAAAGAGACTAGTATGACAAATCAACTCTTCAATTTCAATATGTGTAAAATGGAATTTTTTAAACCCAGTTTCAAGATACACTGGTGTGCAAAAATTAAGCACGAGACGGTTTTTTTTCAATATAACTTTGTACAAAAGCTTTCCAAATCAACACATTTAATACCGTAAGATCCCCAATACGTAAGGACATGAGTAATGTAAGCAACACTTACTAAAAGAGAAATCAGAGGGATTAAAAAGAAGCTTTATTGAAAAAGTAGCATGGAGCGCAATGCGACTGAAGGCCGAAACATCCCTGTGATGGGTGTCCAGCAAGAAACATCCGGTCTTTAATAGGGGATATGATCTCTCCTGACTGCTAAGCAGGTTTCACAGCGTCTGCCCATGCTGAGAATGAGGGTGTCAATGAGTTGTTGAGGCATTGCTGCCCATTCGTCTTGCAGCGCCAATCGAAGCTCCGGAATCGTTACTGGTGGTAAAGTACGAGCTGCCAAGCGTCTGCCTAGAAAATCCCATACATGCTCGATGGGATTGAGATCCGGAGATCGTGCAGGCCAATCCAGGTGACAGGTGACGGAGGACGGGGACGCTACGTTCAATATCCTCACTCTTTAAGAGCTGTTCGGCAGCTGCTGTGCGATGACATGGTGCATTGTCGTCCATGAAAAGGAACTGCTGACCCATAGCGCCTCTAAAAAGACGCACATATGGAAGAAGAATCTCGTTACAATAACGGGTCCCGTTGACTGAACCTGCGTCGAAGATGTGAAGGTCTGTACGACTACCAAGCATGATGCCTCCCCAAACGAGAACACCGCCACCTCCATACCTGTCCCTTTCAATGATGTTCGAGGGATGATTGCGGCTTCCCCGCTCTCTCCAGATGAGTATGCGATGAGAATCGCTACTCAGACTGAATCTGCTCTCATCTGTAAAGAGTACTCGTCCCCATTCATTGTCTCTCCAATTCCGGTGTTCCCGGCACCACAGAGAACGCCTTCTCCGATGGGCAGGCGTTAGAGGTACGCACCGTACAGGGCGTCGTGCAAACAGACCACCACCGTGCAGTCTTCTGGCCACGGTAAAACGCGATATCGGTTGTCCAGTCGCCTGTGTCGTGTGTCTAGCGATTTCTCCCGCTGTCTGCCGCCTGTTTCTTCTGGCCTGTAAGGCAATATACCGATCATCTGCGGTGTGGTTCCTCGTGGACGACCACTACTAAACCCCCGGATAGCTGTTCCTGTAGTTTGAAATTGTCTCCAAAGTCTCGAAACGATGCTGTGAGCAATTCCGAACTCTGCAGCCACACTTGTCACACTGCGGCCTTCCTCGAACTTCCCAATGATTCGACCTCGGGTAAAAGCATCCAGGTGTCGTCTAACAGATTGATTATTCGCCATTTCTCGCTGAGGCAGCAACTCGGTGTGATTTTAACTGCTATACGGCGTGCAATCTCTTTGCCAGAAATATTGATCTTACACCGACAACATACTTTACACTACTCAGACACTCCCCCATTACGTCTACCTGCATATCTGCACATGTGCTACCGTACATCACCTTACTTAATCTCCTGATTGGTCTTTCTGTCCGCTCTGCCTCTTCGTTCAGCTGATATGCTAATTTTTCGACTTCGTCCTTAATTTTTGCACACCAGTGTATTTTAGGATAGGCTTCAAAATATATATATTGGTTTGGAACATTATTAAACAGTGATTTAATATCAAAAGAAACCGTAATGGAGCTCAGAGGAGCAATAACTTTATAGATGACTTCAAAAGAATTTTTTATAGTATTAATATTTTTCGAAAGTAATGGAGAATATATAAAAACTAAGTATTTGGCCAAAGGAAGATGCCGTTCATAAGTTAGAAAATGTAGGTAGAAAAGGAATTCCAATTTTGTGGACTTTGGAGAGAGTATAAAACCTAACACAATTAGCAATAGGTGGAATGAGCGACTTTTTAAGCTGAGTTGGGAGAATATGAGAAGATTAAATAACCGTTTTAACTTTCGTTAGGTCAGAAGTTGAAAGATCTTTAGGGATCAAGCATTATGGGCTTTTATTTCTTATTTTCATGATTTCATCAATGTGTTCATAACAACGATCTGTCCACCCTTATAAGCTTCGGCAATTAAAATGTTAGGTTTAGAATGAATTTCACGTAAGGCCGTTCTTTCCTTTTGGTTAATATTCGAAGCAAATGATTTGTTATTAATATTTGCATGCAGTAATTAAGTAGTGGATTGTATCTTTCAGTTTTTCTGTGATTTTAGAGAACTTATAA